GACCGGGGCCAGGAATTAAACCCAGAGCCTTCTTGCTGCAAGGCAACAGCTCTAGCAACTGCACCACTGTGCAGCCTACTTTAATATGCAATAAATATGATTTGGGGAAGTATCTGCCGCACTTTGTTCTTTTTTCGTCATATTTACTGTAGATATTATACACCATGCTATAAAATAAAAGATTAAAATATCTGTCAATAACTACTTGGGCATTTTAGGAAAGAGATTTGATTCAAATTCAAAAATACTTTATTTATCCCAAAAGTAAACTAAATGTTTCTAACTGGTATTGTTCAAGTACCTGCAAAGAACCGCTTAGAATGGTGATGCTGTGGGCAGGAAGGACCTCTGATAGCAGTCAGTCTCGCTACGGTTCTGAAGAAGCCTCTGACTGAAGACTGTTGCTGTATGACAGTCTGATAGCTATCGTGACATGCTATCAGTTCAACATCCAGGCAGGAGAGACGACATTCCACCGAAACATGTTTTCTGTGAACAACTTCAACTGTTGGCTAGCTCTGCTAATCCACCGCATTTGCAAAGCTGGCCAAATATGAATCTGAATCTCTTCAGCCCTTCCTAAATTTATTGAAAAGTGAAAACCAAACCACAAGTTTTGTTTTCATTTTTCAGCTCACTGATAATAAAGAAATGAGAAATAATGACACTTTATTATTTTATTCAAATCAAATCAAATTTTATTTGTATACCACATTTCAGCAGCAAGGCATTTCAAAGTGCTTTACATCATTAAACACAAAAAAGTCAGTTATTAATGAACTATCTTCCTTGGCCTTCACTTCTAAACCTTGAGAATCAGTCAGGACTCTGATTTCTGATCCTCCACCTCTTTTCAGGAAGACAATGGATATTTTTCTGTAACTTATTGTAATATATTCCTAGCAGGCATAGAGTCAAGGCCAGTTCTTCCAAGACAACAATGGTTAGAGTTTGACTAAAATTTCATTTGGTCATTGTTGTGGCTCTGTATGTTGAATTTTGTAAATCATAAGTTAAAGAACACACCAGGAGATGTGGTGGACGTCTTTTGTTAGTCAAAAATCCGGTGTGATGACAGAAAGTTGTGATAAAATTATTTTTACCAGTTCACTATAATGATGGCAGAAGGTGTTTGTTTAACATCTCTGCACAATTCTCATGCAGACTCCTGTCCTGGTGGTGAATATTAATGCCACCTGAAAGGAGGTCAACTTGGAAATTACCCAGGATTTTAAAATATTGCTTCAGTTTTCTGAAAATTCTTGTTTCGGTCTCAGCAACTGTGTTGTTTGCGTTCTGATTATCTGTCCTGTTGTTTTTCTACGCAGGTTGAAATCCCTCCTGCTGACGTGGGAAACCTTGTTCATCAGGCAGAACAAGGAATGATAACAAACACTGAGGTGCAGACGGAGCAGGAAGTTCCCCTGAGACCGTTCTGATACGTTCTGGTTCTGATCCGACTCAGTGGGATCTGTGTGAAAATCTGCCTTTTGCAGCAACGCCTACCAGACGGTGCTGAGGGGAAAAACCCGGGTCAATCCCAACACGGAGGCCTGCAGAAGTTCAGTTTCTATTTATTAAAGAAATGCCACAATTAATAACAGTGCTGTGAAAAAGTAAGTACACCACTCTACGGATTTCTGCTGTTTTTATATTTCTATATCTGAATTGAGCCAGTCAAAGATTAGACATTATCTATCTTATAGTTCTTGGGTGACCTGTCCCTTTCTAATGCCTCCCTGGGCAACTGCCCAAATCAAAAACAACCTAAAAACAACAAAAACAATCTAAATATTACATTAGTGTGAAAAATGGTAGGTCATAGCATGATCTGAACATTGCACACAGTGATATTGCGATAACAATATATTTGCGGTATGTGCAGCCCTCCTTAGTGGATAAAAAACAACATTACAACAAGTTTGCTCATACTTAACACAAACTATAAATGTGTCTGATATAATTTTGGTTAAAACACGTGAAGTTACTCTTAATTGGTGGAGGATTCAGAAATTCAACTCTAGTAAAATAACAGTATTACTGAAATCAATATAAAAAGAACAGTATCCTAAAGCTACTTCTAAAAGTATTGGTACCCCCAAAATGTAACATGCTAGCTAGTTACCGCTATGACCGCCAACCTCTGCCCAGTTTCAACCTGAAACATCCGAGGGGACATGAAAGCAGCATATTTCCCCACTTTTGATGTTCACGCGAGATTTTCCGAGAGGATAAGTTGAGGGAACATGGCGGCGCCGTCTAATTTGCTGAAGGTAGGAGCCTCAATTCAATGATGTGTTCTGTCGGCTGACTGCAGCGGCTGTCCGGTCCGCGGTACCGCAGCGGTTCCACTCCGGGTTTAGTGAGCAGCACCGGGCCATGGCGGCACTGTCAGGGCCGCTTCTCCGGGTTGTAGCAGCTACACTCTGGGGCTACTGCAGAGCTAGCTGTGGAGAAATAAGGCAGAAACAACGGGACTCGATGGGGAACAGAACCCGGTTCTGAATGGGAGGTTCTGCCTCGGTCTCAGATCTGATCCGCTGTCATTCAGTAGATGTGACGGTTCTTCCAGACCCAGCAGGAGGTCCATTGATCAGCTGTCACCCTCCTCATGTTGTCCCCTGATAAACTGATTCTGTCAGCTGGGCAGAGATGATTAAAGCAAATCATTTAATTTGAAGGAGTCAATTTATGTAGTCCTTCATCCAGTTTAGGCAAGTTTATTTGTGTTCCAGTAGCAGAACAATTCAACTTGTAAATGACAACAAACATTACAGGAGTAAAACAAAGACAAGGAATAGAAAGTTGTAATCCAGATTAGAATCAGTTAATATTCCAGTTGTTATGAATGAAAAGTGGCTCTGACCAGGCGGGTTTTTAGTCTAGATTTAAAGGAACTCAGGGTTTCAGCTGTTTTTCAGTTTTCTGGATGTTTGTTCCAGATTTGTGGTGAATAGAAGCTGAATGCTGTTCCTCCATGTTTGGTTCTGGTTCTGGATGCAGAGCAGAACCAGAACCTGAGAGGTCTGAAGGCTGATCCAGCAGCAGATATTTGATGTGTTGTGGTGCTAAGCCATTCAGTGATTTGTAAACAGCAGTATTTAAAGTTTATTCTCAGATCTGTGAAGATGCTGCTGCAGTAATACTCAAGACAAATGTCTAGATGAGTTTCTCTGGTGCTGAAACATTAGTCCTCTGATCCTGGAAATGTTCTTTAGCTGATAGAAGGCCCACTTTGGAACCGTCTTTATGTGGCTCTGAAGGTTCAGGTCAGAGGTCAGCCTGATCTCTTGTTTCTATAACTCTGGATCTATAACTCTGGATCGTTCCCCTTTAGGCACAAAGATAATAACTTCAGTTTTGATTCTGTTTCGCTGTAGAAAACTTTGGCACCTCTGTACAATTATGGATGTGAATTTAGTTTTTTACTTTAATTTCATTAGCAAAAAAATGTGTCTGCAAATATGACTTTCTGATGACTCAGGCCAAGGCAATCAATGCCAGATGAAACTCGGTGGCCTTTATCCAATCAAATTAAGCTCCTTGGATCATGTGAGACCAGCAGGCTGGGCCACATCCTGTCTATTAACAATTAGCTGGTTAGTGTCTCTAAACCAGAGCCTCTGCAGGTAGGTGGCGCTCTAGTTGTCAGTGAAACATGACATAAAGAGCAAAAAATCCTCACTGGCCATGAAGAAGTAGCTGGTATGATTTCTATTTAAGAGAGAAAAGCTCCTCACTCACGTTCATTAAGCCGTGCTGCTAACAGCTAACTGAGAAGAGGCCCGGCCCACTGGAGCCACATGACCAAAGGAACCTAATTTGATTGGCCAAAAGCTGCTTGACTCGATCTGGGGTTGATTACTTTGGCCTGGGTCTCCAGAAGGTCTCCACGTTTCCAGTCAAAGTTTTGATAATTTCATTTGAATTGGAAACGGTCAGGAACTGATGAATGAGGGTTTCTGGTTCCCTGATGCTCTGCTCTTTAAGATGCTACAGTTATGAATTTAAGTTTTTTATTTATTAGTGAAATTAAATAACGAGAATATAACTTATGTAAAGGGAGAAGTGTGCTGTAGTTTGTGCTGTCTATCTCCAGAACAAAGGCTCCCTCCAGTTCGAGGATAAATGGGACCTGATGCGCCCCATCGTCCTGAAGCTGCTGCGCCAGGAGTCCGTCACCAAGCAGCAGTGGTTCGACCTCTTCTCGTGAGTCTTCCTGTAATTCTCACAGCTTGTGTTGCTTCCTGTGAGCGCCACCTTGTGTCTCCTGGTTGACTCTGCAGGGACGTCCATGCGGTCTGCCTGTGGGACGACAAAGGACCCGCTAAGATCCACCAGGCGCTGAAGGAGGACATCCTAGACTTCATCAAACAGGCTCAGGCAGTAAGGCGTCCTGCTCGTCTTTCTGGTTAACCTGCTATAATCATGTGGTTATAACAGAACATCTACTCTTAAAGGGGCGGTGTCATGAAAAATAGAAAATGTTAGCTTTCCTTCATGTTATAATGTTAATTCCTCATCAAAAACATACCTGGAGAAATCCTTTAATCTCCATGGCAACTATTCACCTGAGCAAAACGTCTGGGTGGACATAGCCCTGCCTTCGAGCCGCAGCACCTTCAGACTAGCCAGCAGCAATTAGCAAACACCCGCTGAGCTCATCATAGGAGCTACTTCTCTGGTAAAAGCGTTAAAGGGTTAATAGAGGTGCCATGTAGGGATGATGATTCAGAAAAGACCAGGAGTTCTTAAAGAGACAGAGGCCCAATGTCAGGGCATTAAATCAGGAAGGAAAATAAGTTTTAAGTCATATTTGATATAAGTAGTATTTTTATACCAACTGAAGGAAACTGTTGATGCTGTAAAGTGGCGCTTTGTGCCTGTAAGACCTGGTGGTGTGTTTGGTCTGGCAGCGGGTGCTGAGTCACCAGGACGACACGGCGCTCCTCAAGGCCTACATCGTGGAGTGGAGGAAGTTCTTCACTCAGTGCGACATCCTGCCCAAGCCGTTCTGCCAGCTGGAGATCACTCTGATGGGCAAGCAGGGCAGCAACAAGAAGTCCAGCGTCGAGGACAGCATCGTCCGCAAGGTGAGCCGCCGTCCGGTTCCGACCCGTCTCCGGTTCCGACCCGTTCTCCTGACTCTCCCCCTCCTGACTGACTGCAGCTCATGCTGGACACGTGGAACGAGTCCATCTTCTCCAACATCAAGAGCCGTCTGCAGGACAGCGCCATGAAGCTGGTCCACGCCGAGCGGCTGGGCGAGGCCTTCGACTCGCAGCTCGTCATCGGAGTACGGGAGTCCTACGGTGACAAACTTCAATCATCTCTGCTCCTGCTGGCTTTTCCTGAACTCACAAACTCTAAAGTTCAAAACTACAAACCAAAATAATGACTCAGTTTAGTTTTTAGATCCGTTCCACATCAACGGGAATATATTATTAATTTTGAGGATTCTCATTAATAAATAAAGAATAAAGGAAACAAGTTCTGCTTCTTAGAAAATCAGAACCTTACATCATCAGGCCTGTCACAGTAATCATTCAGCAAATAATGACACTTTTAATGCAAGAACACGTTTTCAAAGATCAATAAACTTTAAATTTTAATGATCATTTAATACTACAACTGGAAAACATTTTAAATATCCAAAATAAACAAAGCAACAGAAACGACAAATAAAATAATAGTTCTAGTTGAGACCAAAACTCCAGACTGAAACTTTTATAATCCAGTTTTTGATAAAAAGAGAGAAACAATAAATTATACAAATGGAAATTAATGAGCTTGTTTCTATTTATCATGCGATTAATTGATTTATTGTGATAGTGTCTCATTTATGTTATTTAATTTATATGAATAATTGTAATTTTGATCTTTGAAACAGCAACATTTCCACATACATGTATTTCTGCTCCTTCTGATGAATAATTTTAAACATTAAATGATGTTTTGAGCAGTTTTCAGGGGCCTTTTTCACAAACGCTTCTTTACTGTTCTTTGAGTCATTTCTTGGTCAGGATGCTTTTTACTTTTACTGTAGTAAAAACATGTTAAAGTAGAGTTATTACCCACACAACTATAAGCTGATATTGGATAAATACAGTGATGGCTTGCCATAGAGTTGTGATAATATGCCCTTATGGCTTGCCTCAGTTCCAGTTGAACACTCATAGTGATTCCTTGAGACAAACGATGTTATTACTGCATTAGTTTGGAGTGAAGTGCTTCAGATAACACATGCAGTCTTCACTCAGCTAAACCGACAGATTTATGAGACTCTGAGCAACAGAACCACCTGGTTAACGGGCCGTCGTGATTGGCTGCTGGACTCCAGATGCTCCCAGCTGCTCTCTGACCTCTCTTTGTTTTTTAATTGTTTCTAATATCCTGTCGTTTACTGATTTCTCTCTTTGTTTGCTGATTTTTCTCAGTGAACTTGTGCTCCAACCCTGAGGACAAGCTGCAGATCTACAGAGATAACTTTGAGAAGGCGTACATGGACTCCACTGAGAGGTTCTACAGAACCCAGGCGCCGTCCTACCTGCAGCAGAACGGAGTCCAGAACTACATGAAATACGTGAGTTCAGCACACGAAGCCACTAATTTACACACACGCAGTAAAAACTGTTTTTTTTTTTTTTTTTTTTTGTTTTTTTGCAAAACGCCAGAAAACTTACTGAGAACATTTTTTAGGAATCTTTTGTAACTTTTATTGAATTCAAAAGTTTTACTTTCATCTGTTCTGGTTTCTGTAACTGGTTTTTTGGTTCTGTAACTGGTTTTTTGGTTCTGTAACTGGTTTTCTGCCCAGGCGGACTCGAAGCTGAGGGAAGAGGAGAAACGAGCGCTGCGATATCTGGAGACACGACGCGACTGCAACTCCGTCCAAGCTGTGAGTTTTACTTCCATGTTTTAGTGATGGATCATAAAACTTTATGGATGTTATGAAATGTTGTGACTGGATATTTCTGATGTGCTGGCAGCTGATGGATTGCTGCGTAAATGCTTTGGTGACGTCCTTCAAGGAGACCATCTTAGCCGAGTGTCCAGGCATGATCAAACGAAACGAAACCGACAGTGAGTCCAGAACCCAAACGGACCCGCGGGACTTTATTTATTATCATTAAACTTTATTTTTAATTCCACTGAGATTAAAAATAAATTTTACTAGAGAATCCTGACCAAGGCTGTGGTTGGAATAAGCTATGTGTGGATCAGAAACAAAACGTCTCAAAACACTGGAGACTAACACTGCAACCAACCATTAGATTAGCGATAGATTTTTCTGACAATTAATCTGATAAAAAATTGGCACATTCTGCAGTATTTTCATATCACCACAAAATATTAGAGTTAAATTAAAAGATGCAAATAAAGAAATAATTCATTTCATTTTTTAAGCTAAGAAAATTAACATTTTATTGCCTAAAATACACTAACAGCATTCCTTTAGTGAAAGCTTCATTTGTAGCAAAAGATAAAAAATCCTTCTGAGATCAACATGTGAAAAGCTCAGATTTGTTTATTTTATTTTATTTTGATTAACCAATTAATAATTGATAGCAGATATTTATTTCTCCAGAATGTGCACCAGCTGAAGCTAAAGTATTTACAGATAAAGGTTTCTTATTTGTGTTTTTGTCCAGTTTTGCCTTAATTCTGCTCTGACTCTGTTGTTCTTTAGGCAAATGATCTTTTTTAGTGTCTCTATACTCCAGATTACTTGAGTAATTGATTAATCGTTTCAGCTCTTGTGCAGAGTTTTTAGCAGCAGAGCTTCTACAGCTTCTCCGAAACATTTGAGCTAAGCCTGTGTTGACCTCTGACCCCCAGAGCTCCGCCTCATGTTCTCCCTGATGGACAAGGTTCCCAGCGGCATCGATCCGATGCTGAAGGATCTGGAGGAGCACATCATGAGTGCCGGCCTGGCCGACATGGTGGCTTCGGCCGAGACCATCACCTCGGTGAGGCTCCACCAGTTCAACCAGTTCAACCATCAGATCCAGATCAGAACCAGAAACTTCTTCCATTCTGTGAATTCACTCAAACTGAACACACTCTGATTTATGAGAGAATTACAATATAACATCAAATACACAGCAAAACACTAAATGTTACCCAAAAGTTTTTTTTTTTGTTTTTTTTGTTTTTTTTACTTTTATTGATAAAATCTCAGTGCAGACAAAACTTTCTTAAAAATGTCTTGACAGAAATTATAGGAAAGTGTTCACTGCAAAAATAGAAACTCTTCAGGTCCAGTCGGTGTTTTCCTGCAGGAAATCGTGTTCCAGGTGTGACCCGCAAAAACACCTGGATCATAAGAACCAACTGAATGTGTCATAATTAGGAGCTAGGAGGGAAAACATGGAGGTTCTACTTTTCTCTCTTGCTCTGGGTGAAGGCGGACGCTTCTTTCCTCTGCTCCCTCCCTGCCCATGCAGGGAGCAAGAACTGCTTGCTCTGTTTTTGTTCTGTCCTTTTCTATATTTTTGGAGCCTTTCTTTGCACATCATCCAAATCTGCAAATTATGGATCTGGTCAACCGGTCTCTCAATGCAAATAATCAAATTTTCTCGACGAGAAGTCTGGGTACAGGAGAGCCCTCTTGTCCTTCGGGGACAAACCCATTGGGATTCACCTGGGATTTATTCATGATAACAGGATTTCTGCTGTTTGAAGCTTGCGGATTCCTGGATTATCGGCAAATTTGTGACGGACTTGGCCGAACTAGCAAACACTCGGCCTGTTGGTGTGGACAGAGACCAGGACTCTAAAACTCACTAACAGGATGGAATAGATCTTAGAGAAGTTGCTAGTTACGGTTCAGTGGAACAACCAAATTAATTTGGATAATTGGGAACTGAGATGTATCGGAGAGACTTTAGGGAAGATTGAAATTCATTATCTTCCCAACCTAAGACATTCTGTTTCTGAATTGGCTGCCCCTGTGTGGCCTTGGAAGGGCTGCATATCTCTAATCTCCTCGAAGATATGTAAACACAACGCTCTTCCCTCCTCACCCCCTCCTGTTGTCCATGGAGCTGTGGAGCTGAACACTCCCAAGAACATTCCTAGATAACAACACCTTTATCGGACTTCTGCCGGGAGGCTCAGTAACTTGACTTCATGGCCCTTTGATGTCACCGCCTTCACTCATATCTCTGTTTTACCCTTTGTTTTGTCTGAATGTTGCCATTTGCCCTAATGTGTCCTTTCCTCTTTTTTGTTTTAGTTTGATAGAAACTGTGGAGTACTCATCATTTAACCCAGAAAAGGATTATTATAGTTTACTAGTAATATTAGTAATTGTGGAGTACGCACCCTTTAGATCAGTATTATACAGCCCAGAAATGGAATCAAAATTAGAATTAGAATAACTACGAACTTGGAATCCAGAAATACTTAGACTCCTGTTCTCCCAACCCAGAAATGGAATTAGACCAGAAGATACTTAGCAACCCTGAACAGGAGCTCCTAGTTTACATACTTTAGATCAACATTATATTAGATTATTTTCCTTCTTTTGCTCTTTTTTTTTCTTCTTCTTTCCTTTGGTTTGTTACTTTGTTTGTATTTCCTTTTAATTCATGTAAAGCACTTTGAATTGCCTTGTTGCTGAAAATGTACTATATAAATAAAATTACCTTACCTTTAGAATAAATGTTTATGGTTTAAAATGTTTTCTGCTGCAGGATTCAGAGAAATATGTGGAGCAGCTGCTGACTCTGTTTAACCGCTTCAGTCGGCTGGTGAAGGAAGCCTTCCAGGACGACCCGCGCTTCCTCACTGCCAGAGACAAAGTCAGGTTCCTCTACACATAAACGAATAAAACTGTTAAAAAGCGACGATGAGGTTTTCCTCTGACGCTTCCTCTCTTCCAGGCGTACAAAGCTGTGGTGAACGACGCCACCATCTTTAAGCTGGAGCTTCCCATGAAGCAGAAAGGGTAAGAGCACCTCCTGCTGCTGATGCTGCGCCTTGAGGCAGCGCTGACCTCTGACCTCTGACCTGCTGCTCTCAGGGTGGGGATGAAAACTCAGCCGGAGTCCAAGTGTCCGGAGCTGCTGGCCAACTACTGCGACATGCTGCTGAGGAAGACACCGCTGAGCAAGAAGCTGACCTCAGAGGAGATCGAGGCCAAGCTCAAGGAAGTGGTGGGTCCACAAGTATTCATACCCCCAGCCGCTCCATGTTCTGCCACCGCAGGGAATTTAAATAGACACACACAGAAAAATCATTGTGTCACGATTACAAGGCTTACTGGACGATTTTAAGATCATTTTTCAAATAATAGCATAAAATGAATACAGGAACGCATTCTAAAAGATTAATAAACTTTTAATTCTAATGAACATTTAACACTAGAAGACATTTAAAAAAATGAATAAACAAAACAACAAAAACAACAAATAAAATGAATTATGAAGTCTTCAAATAAAGATCTAAACTGTTAAATAATAATAAATAGCTGCTCTGCATTCAGAAAGTACATCTTAAATTAAATATTATTGAAAATCTTCTCGCATTAATTTCACGATTGTTTTCGTGAAATCACAGAAATTTGCAATAAATTCACAGTTACACATCAGCGCCAAAAAAAAAAGCAAAGTTCTGTTGAGATCAGGTGAATTTATAGAACGCAGAATCGCAAAAAAACAGAGTGTATGATTGATCTGGCAGAAAACAGATAAAAACTGGATTTTACTGATAAAATAATACTTAAAAACGAAGCTGTTTGACACATGGCCTAGTCAAAGTCCAGAGCTAAATCCAAACTGCTGTTCACAGATCCATCCAAGAAAGGAGTAAAATGTTCAAAGCTGCAGCTAGACAAGTCTCTAAACCCAGGAGGGCTGAAAATAAATGCACTCCACACTTTTCAGATTGTTTGGGTGGAAGATAATCAATCATGAGTCTTTATCTTCTGATTGGTCCTTCAGAACCTGATATGACTCATGAAACGAGCCGGATGTGATCCCTGAGCAGAGCTCGGTGTGCTAACGACCCGTTTTCTTTGTGCAGCTTCTGGTTCTGAAGTACGTCCAGAACAAAGACGTGTTCATGCGGTACCATAAAGCCCACCTGACCCGCCGCCTCATCCTGGACATCTCGGCCGACAGCGAGATTGAGGAGAACATGGTGGAGTGGCTCCGGGTACCACGCTCAGCCTGCGGTTCTGATCAGAGCAGGTCTGCCGGTCTGGATCTGACGCTGTGATGTCATCTCTCCTGACAGGAAGTGGGGATGCCGGCGGACTACGTCAACAAGCTGGCCCGGATGTTCCAGGACATTAAGGTGTCCGAGGATCTCAACCAGTCCTTCAAGGAGATGCACAAACACAACAAGCTGGCGCTGCCAGGTAAACACAGAACCAGAGCTGGGCTTTGGACCGCTCCTATGGAGAATGATGCGCTCGTATTGTTCCAACAATACAAGAAAAACGTTGATCAACCAGGCTGAATATACAGTAGGAATATTCAGTGAGGTAGCCTGAAGGGGGCGCTCAAACATTTCATAAACCTGCAGCCAGTTCAGATCAAAAAGCTTCAAAATATATAAACTATAATGAAGAAGAAAATAAAATATTTTTATTTACTTTTGGGAACCAGCCTGACTGAGTTACTAGGTTTCCCTGTTTTAACAAGGCCACAGATCAAACTGTCCGACCCTTATATGCAGAGGTGGGCACTGCTAGCTTAAAAGTTAGCACAGCTAACCGATGAGTTAGCGGTGCTATTAGCATAATTGTGTAACTGGTGCTGGTGTTTTTCTGAAGCTGTTTGCCTCCTGCAGCGGACTCAGTGAACATAAAGATCCTGAACGCGGGCGCGTGGTCGCGCAGCAGCGAGAAGGTGTTTGTGTCTCTGCCCACGGAGCTGGAGGACCTGATCCCGGAGGTGGAGGACTTCTACAAGAAGAACCACAGCGGCAGGAAGCTGCACTGGCACCACCTCATGTCCAACGGCATCGTGAGTGCAGCTGACCTGCAGCAGACGCAGCAGAACGCTCAGCATCTAACCCTCAACCTGCCTCACGCCTTCAGATCACCTTCAAGAACGAAGTGGGCCAGTACGACCTGGAGGTCACGACCTTCCAGCTGGCTGTGCTGTTCGCCTGGAACCAGCGGCCCAGAGAACGCATCAGCTTCGAGAACCTGAAGCTAGCCACGGAGCTGCCCGACGCCGAGCTGCGACGGACGCTCTGGGTAAAGAGCCGCAACGTTCTGTGGGCTGCTGGGTTTGGGTTGGCTGACCCGGTTCTGGTCTGATCCGTCTCTTCCAGTCGCTGGTGGCGTTCCCCAAGCTGAAGCGCCAGGTTCTGCTGTACGACCCGGCGGTGTCCTCACCCAAAGACTTCGCAGAGGGAACGCTGTTCTCCGTCAACCAGGAGTTTTCTCTCATGTAAGGAAGCGGAAGGCGGCGGCTCAGGGCGGCGGCTGGCACGGGGGTCACGATACGTCACAGCTGCTCAGACAGGAGCAGAGAAATGTTCAGGAGAGTTAAAAACGGGGTGTAGTTCTCACCAGACAACATAAACCAAACAGAGTTAGTCTGATGCAAATCGGAAACTTACAGTGTCATAGAAAAGTTCATTTAGTTTCATTCAAATTAAAACATAAACCACATAAATATATATTTTACTCAACCCAAACCTTAAATCCTCAGAGAATCACATCATATTGATAAAGAAAGGACTTTTGGAGAGGAAAGTTAAGTGGAAGGAAAATCTCTGGTAGAAAAATATCAAGAAGCAACAGAGTAATGCATATCCCTGTGTGTGGAATGAGTCAACAGAACCAATAAAAAGTTTTCACCCCCCTGGATATTTTACCTTTATTTACATAACTTTAAAAAAACAGCTACGATCAACAAAAAGATCCCAAAAAATTATTTTAATGTCAAGGCAGCTTACATATTTTTTATGTAATGGTCATTTATAGAAATCAGTTTTCATTTATGAAGTGTTTTTGTTAAAAAAAAAAAAAGTCAAATTTTGTTGCTCAGTGTTAATTTCTAAAAGCCATAAAAACGATAAGACATTGAAGGGAGTGAATACTTTTCATTGACAGACAGGGATTTGTATTTCTGATAATTCTGGCTGTTGCTTGTGGATTTTTTTTCTACCGCAGTTTTTCCTTCCACTTAACTCTCAATTAAAATAATTTTTTATAGATTTGACGTGCTGCTGTGAGGACTTGAGGCTTGTTTTCTGTTTTCTGTAAGTGTGAATCATCAAAATGAACAGAAATAAACACATTAAATGTGTTTAAATACTCTACCTGATTACAGCGGTTCTGATCTGCAGATCTTCAGCTGTCCGTTCCCTGAACAGAGCAGCTTCATGTGCGCTCAGACTTCTGCAATGACTTTTGATTTTTAATGTTTCCAGAAAAAACTCAAAGGTCCAGAAGAGAGGAAAGATCAATCTGATTGGTCGACTGCAGCTCACCACCGAGCGAATGAGAGAGGAGGAGAACGAAGGCATCGTCCAGCTCCGGATCCTCAGGACTCAGGTAAGAAGGACCGGCATGAATGCACATGTGGACTACACCGCAGGGCATTCTGGGTAAATACAGCTTAAACAAATGTGCTAGCCTAGCGCTAGCAGGAGAAATGGCTAAAGAGAAATCCTCCAACCACAAAAATCTGACGCCGCCATTTTAGTTTCCATTTGGTGAAGAATGAAGTTGCGTTCAATGTCTTCAGAGGTTTTCATGTTGTTTCCTTCAGTGGTTCTTGGTGCAGCGCCCCCACAGGCCAGGAGGGGAACAGGTTGCTCAAAGGGTTTAGTTGTTTTGACTCAGAGCTCAGAGAAAGAGAACCACAGCAGCTGGAGTTGGAGCAGATGATGAAGTTCTGGTTCCCAATCAAACTGAGTCTATCAGGAGGGAAAACGGTCTGAATTTGATCATGCCGTGCTGCGACTCAAAATGCTTCTTTAAATTTGACATAATGTTGTTGTAGCTAGCTGAGACTCTACAGAGAACCTTAATAATGTCTTCATCTTCAAAATGTAAACATTACATTGTTTACCTTGTGTTGCTGAAAAAGTGACGTGTTGCAAATGACAAATATATCTTTTTAGGAAAGTAAAATGAGGAAAATATGACTTTAATTGTCACCTTTAATTTGATAACACATTAGAGTTCTGTTGCTTCACCTCCTCTCTTCCTCCTGCAGGAGGCCATCATCCAGATCATGAAGATGCGGAAGCGCATCAACAACGCCCAGCTGCAGACGGAGCTGGTGGAGATCCTCAAGAACATGTTTTTACCACAGAAGAAGATGATCAAGGAGCAGATTGAATGGCTGATAGACCACAAGTACATAAAGCGGGACGAGACGGACATAAACACCTTTATCTACATGGCGTAGCGCCGTCGGGTCTGAGCTTCCACTGGGCCGGGCCTGATGGACTCCAGAACATTTTCAGGACTCCCAGACTGCTGAACAGAACTTCGTTTGTTTACTGCAGGGAGGCTGAGTTCAGACGAGACGAAACAAACTTCCTGCCTTAAACCTGTACACAGAAAATCGGCAGCAGAAGAAGCTGCGTCTCTGATGCCGGGTCTCCACAGGTTCTATAGAACCACGACTGCGACTACACTCCTGGTCCGGGTTTGAGGAAGCCGCAGAACCTCTGCAGTCCGACCCAAATCCAGACCACTTGAACTGAATCGCTGCCATGTTTTCCTCAGACGCGATGCTGCTAAGTGACCCGGTCGCTCTGGTTCCACACGGTTCTGATCCGACATGATCGGAACTGCTGCTCGGATTCATTCTGGGTCATCCTCAGAGAAACACTTCAAAGGTCAGAGAGGTGCTGGACCCAAACAAAGGGCTGGCTCCGCCCATATCGGGCTGCTGGCTCCGCCCACATCTGGGTTCTGTGCTGCAGAAAATCAGATTATTTCAAATTATTCTTAATTCTTGTTTTTCATCCACTTTTAGAGACTGAATCAGAAAATCACCAAAATAAAAACACAATTAATTCCTTAAATTCAACTCAGAACTCAAACTGAACACACTCTGATGTTATTCAAGCCTTTATTTCTGCTAGTTTTCATGATTTCTCAGATAATTACAATATAACATCTGACCTTTACTCTTCAAAAACACAAAATATTACCCGAAAGTATTTTTTATGTGTAGTTTCTATTGATAATATTTTGGTATATCTGAAATAACACAAAAGTAACTTTTTGGCAAGATATAGCAGCTTGTTTTACGTCAATAATTCCTTAATATTGTTGAATAGTTCTTGTTCCACAGGCAAATTTCACTTAAAACTTGAGGAAAACGTCTTAAAAACATTTCCTATATCTTGCTGCAAAGGTACTTTTATCTTAGTTCTTTCTTAATTCAAGTGTAATTACATATTTGCATTTGAAAATAGACAAAATACTTTTTACAGTGTAGAACTTAATGCTGACCATTATTCCTGCTGAGCGGGTGTAGACTGTCTGCTCTGGGCTCTGTTTGAATTCCTGCATCAAAACGAACAGAAATAGAAGCTAGAAATGTCTCAGTATGTGTAATAAATATAAGTTTCATTTATTACACAAATAACAGTTCTTAGATGATTCTCTGATTTATTAAGATGAGTTTATTTAATGAAAGCGGTGATAAACAGACATGGTTCTGGTCTTTGGTGAACTGGGTTTCATGGTGTGTTTGAGTTCAGAGATGGCCGCACGCACATGGAAAGCAGTGACGGCTACAAAAATATTTTCTTTTCTTTTCATGATGCTTTGGTATCTAATTAAAGCAGCTGCTTTTGTGGACAAACCTTTAAAAAACAGGTCTTGAGCTTTTCATACTGGCAGCCATTTTGAAATGACCTCTGAGTATCTGAGACCCAGTTCCAACTTTAGCAGTTCTGTTGTCGAGTTTCAGTTGAAACTGAAAAATCCAGACTTCCCAGAACAAACTGAACGCACCGTAACTTAAATAGACCGTATAGAATCAAATTAAACATTCAATAATCAATAATGCTGTTATAAATACAAAATCATAATCATTTTGAATTAATTTAGATGAAATCAGTCTACATTTGTCTTGGTGCTTTTATGGTTTTCATTTAGCAGCATCAGAACCATCTGTGGGTGAAATGGGTTTGACCCGATTGGGTCCAAACTGGTCCAGAGTGATTAGGACTTAAACAAAGGCTGAAGGCTTAGTATGGAGAAAACCCTCAGTACCTGGGGCCAGAGGGCGGAGCCAGAGGGGGCGGAGTCGGGTTTGGGACAGAACCCTGGTCTCCAGGAGGCTGAGGTCAGTATTACAGAACCGATCCAATGTATCAGGAGCAGGGGGCGGGGCCAGATGTGAATAGTGGAATAAATAAATAAACAGCACCTTATTATGAGATATTGTACAGGTGTGTCTTTGATTGTGGCTCAGAGAGCTCAGGTTGGTTCATGTTTCATTTATTTATTTATTCTCTGTTTAGTTTCTGTTCACCTTTGAAAATGATCAAATAAGCTGTTTCAGAATCAACCCAATAAAAGCTTTGCTTACAAAACATGCATTTTGGGTCCAGTGCTTCAAAAAACAGAAGATATTTGACATAAAAGGGTGTCATATTTCTGACTTCCAATTTTTGTTTTTGTCTCAGGACGTTTACTTAAATTTAAGATGACACAAATAAACACAAAATACAGTTTTTAAATGTTTATTGTGAAGTTAGAAAAAGACCTGGAGGGCCCATAGGAAGGGTTAGCTCCTAGTTAGCGTCTCGTTAGCGCCAGTTGTCCTGCCTCACATGGGGAATAGCAGATGACCGCTGAAGGTGCAGATGTGGTTTTCATCGTCGTAGATGACATGGCCGGACCAGAGACGAACAAACACGACGTCTCCGGCCTCCAGCAGCAGCGAGACGCCGTTAGATGCACTGCCGAAGCCCAATATCAGATATTCATATGAGTCCAAGTTGTTCCTCGCAGTGAAAACCTGCTGGTCATTCTTCACTAACGAGGTTATTGTGTTTTCATCGTTGTTGACGCCGATGTACCACTGAAAGTGGTAAGCTCCTCTCAGTGGGGCGGTAAAAACTCCTGCAGGACAAACAGAGGAATCCTCTCAGTTTCTCTACTTCTGGTAGAACAGCAGCTTGTCTCTGTTGTTACCTGTATGCGGGTTGTAGGCGTCTCCGATGTTTGTGACGACGCGTTTGAAGACCAAGGTGGTGTCTCTAAGGACGGGTCCAGTAGTTCCAGAACCCTGAGCCAACAAAGAGGCTGAAAAAGCCACTTTGTTGGCTGAAACTGAGCAGAAATGTTCTGTTTTCAGGTTCATGTTTCATTATTTGATCTAATCAAATGCTAAACAATCAGATTGTCTTGGTAAAGCAGTACCTTGAAGTTGCTGCTTTAGATTTTCAGCCAGAGAAATCAGATTCTTCTCTTGAGCGTCTACCTGAACCCGCTTCCACTCCTGTCCTACAGAAAAAACAGATGATGTTTCCGTACATACATTCAGAAGAAACCAGAAGCATTGTGGATAGAAAGTTTATTAAATGTGGAAAGCTCTTAGATCTCTACCTTCAGTTTTCTTTGTCAATGTAGATATTTCGTCCTTCTCCTTCCTCCAAGTTCTCATCCTCTTCAGTTTTGTTCCTTGCTCTAAAAATCAACCATCAATAACTGTAAGCTTGACTTGATTTGGCTTGAGACATTAAGAAAATATATTAATCTGAAAACAGGAGCCGTTCCTCACCTTCAGTCTCCTGCTCCAGAACAGAGACTTTGCTCTTCAGGGCAGCCAGGGCAGCAGCCATCTTTGCCAGGGCAGTGTGGACGTTCTCCTCAGGATGGACAGCGGAGATCTTTCTGTCTGAGTCCATCTGATTCATGGAAACAGAGGAGAAGAGAAGAAACGGCAGGAAAACCAGGGCCACCTTCATCCTCATGGTGAAAATCCAGAGCTGTGGCGGCTGCAGACCTGATGGAGATTTAAATGCTGCAGCTGGAGTGAAGGAGAGGCGGGTCTGAGGTCAGGAGGTCACTTCCTGTGATTCACAGACTTTAGTTTAAAACAGTTGGAGAAAACATTCATGCAGAAACATGTTGCAAGAAGCCTTGATCTAAAGCATCTCAGTGTTTTGGCCGTTTTTCAGTTTTCCGGAAGTTTGTTCAACATTTATGTTGCATAGAGGTTGAATGCTGCTTCTCCATGTTGGGTCTGGATGCAGAGCAGAACCAGAACCAGGAGACCTGAGAGGCCTAGTTTGATCCAGCAGCATCAGCAGCAGATCTTTATAAACTACCAACAGTATTTTGAAGTCTCTTCTCTCAGAAGAACTGGTGTGATGTTCTCCATCTTCCTGGTTTTAGTCAGAACGCCAGCAGCAGCGTTCTGGATCAGCTACAGCTGGTTCATCGATATTTTAGACAGAAATGTGAAGGATTGCCAAAAATCCTTCATAAGCATTTTCAACAAATATTTTCTCTGTTATAAACTCCAACACACTGAAGACACATAGAGAAGAGATAGCATGAAATAATAAATGCAAATAAATGGCAGTTAATTAGGGTTCCTGCAGACTGCAAAGTCTGGATAAGGCTGGAAAAATGAACAGTTTTACATAAATCTCACTTTTCCAGAATTAGCTAGAATAGAATAGACAGAAAAGAATAAAAATAATCTTTATGGTCCCACAGTTCCGGTATACCAGCAGCAAAGAAACTAAGGCATGTAGGTTCAAACATAGAAAAGAAGTATTAAAAATACATAAAATGAATGTTCTGCAATGTAAGAACAAGATTTTAACATAAAACACTGTGCAGTTATCAGAAATAGTATAATATGATCCAATTGATTGTAGAAAACCTCTGAAACAAACATCCATGTTTGTTTTTGCATTAAATGTCAAACTGTCAGCAATGTGCCAGAATAAGGAACTATGGATTAACAGAATTGATCTAAAATAATCTTTTGAGACATTTATAATTTCTATTTGATTCTATTCTTAAGCTTTTGTGACATTTATCAAAAATACAAATTAATCTAAAAACATGGCATTGGTATTAAAAAACAGTGATAATCAGTTTTATTCTTTTTAGTTGGTTTGATGCTTTTTAGCATTTACACTGTCAGTTTCAAACTGTGTGTAAATTAGATTCTTTTCAGAAACTCAAAACCTTAATGACTACATTTGCTAAAAAATAAAAATAAATAGATAAATAATGCAAAAAAAAAGAAGCTTCATGTTAATTAATATGTTGCAGAATGTAAAGGTAACAAACCCCAAACAATTGAAAACAGTTTTTAGTCAAACATGTGAAATTTGGGTCACATTTTAAGTCTAAATGAGAATCTGGATGTTAACCTGGTTTCAGTGTGAATGTCTAAGGCTAAAAGGCAAAGAAATAAAATATAATTCATGTGACTGGATGTGCTTTCGCCATCTTGCTTCACTGATCAGATGGAGGTCATGAACTTCCTGTTCTGTTTGGCCTCTGGTGAGAGCTCAGGGTGGAGGCGACAACGCCTCATGGTTGGGAAAGGTTTTGTTTTTCTGATGTTCTCTTCCACCCAGTGGCGCAACTACACATTACCCCCCCCCGCCGCCCCCCAGGGAAGGAACGTCAGGGTGAAGGCGACGCTACATGATGAAGTGTAAAACTCGCTACATGTACCTCGTTATGTGCGAGAGGTGAAGGAGCCCAATCTCATAATCGGCGCGTCGCCCCCTCCAGACGGGGTTTTGGCGCCCCCTCTGGTGCTGCGCCCCTATGCGTTGCATACGCTGCATACCCACTTTTTGCGCCTCTGCTTCCACCTCCGCTCTGTCCAACCTCTGAAGGCTTTGTGAGGAAACATTGCTATCATCGAGTTCAGACATACAAGTGTCTCTTTGGGGTCAAAAGGCAAGCATGACCGGATTCTGAGAAAGGATGAGCTTTAGCCTTTTTATTAGAGACAGAGTTTCATTCAGGCCTAAAAGTCCAACCCAACTCGGCCCAAAGCCCATAGCCACTGTGTCCGAGCCTGACTCGACTAACTAAGTATAGGCCTGAGATTAAAACCTGGTGGTGTGAGGCAGCTGGGTGGATGAAGCACCAACCATCTGACAGGTTAGGAGGAAGCTGGAGCTCTGCTCCAGTCTCAGGTTTTAGACTCCAGCAGGTTTTCTTCCAGCTCCAGCTCCCATCAACTCTCACCATCTTCCCTGCTCCTGCTAAAGACAGGTTGACTGATAGTTGCCCCGTGGACAGGTTACTGTGGGTCATTTTGTCCAGTCTCCACCTTGGCTGATCTCTGATTAGAGCTCTCCTTGTTCAGCCTGGATGTTTAGCTGGACTTTGACTAGGCCCTGTCTAGGTAGGTTTCCAGTTGGGCCAGACTCTTTCCATTTCCAAGTGATGGCTGAGCAGTGAGGCGTTCAAATCTTGGTAAATCTTTTGAATCATCAAAATGCTTTGAGCCACGTATGATTTTCTTTCTACTTCACAATTATATTCCACTTTGTGTTGGTTTTTCAAATCAAATTCCAATTAAATATATTAATGTTTGTGGTGGGAGGAAACCAGAGTACCTGGAGAAAACCCATGCATGCACAGGGAGAACATGCAAACTCCATGCAGAAAGACCAGGAATTGAACCCAGAACATTCTTGCTGCAAGGCAACAGCTCTACCAACTGCACCACTGTGGTTTCCTCCCACAGTCCAAACACATCACTGTCAGGTTAATTGGTCTCTCCAAATTGCCCCAAGGTGTGAGTGTGTGTGTGTGTGTGCATGGTTGTGTGTCTCTGTGTTGCCCTGCGACAGACTGGCGACCTGTCCAGGGTGACCCCGCCTCTCGCCCGGAACGTTAGCTGGAGATAGGCATCAGCAACCCTCCCGACCCCACAAAGGGAAAAGGGTGTAAAGAAAATGGATGGACTGAAGGATGTTTGTGGTTGTAATGTGAGAAAATATGGAAAAGTTAAAGGGGTGTGAATGCTTTTGTCAGCCCATGTAAATGTGGTTCTGCAGTAAAGTGAGCTGAAAATGATTAAGCCGACTTGTGATCAGTTAAATCTAGTCAAAACGCTTGTCTGACAGAGTAGAAATGAACAAATCGTTTTCTCTTCACTTCCTTCTCCTGTGGATCTCCCACCTGAGCTGGTGTTATAGCTAAACACCATTTATCTGCGTCCTCCTCCTCCCATCGATCATGAAGTACAATGTAAAAAACTTCAGGGTTCTTACAGAAACTGGAGATCAGACCGAAATTTGGTTTTGAACATTCAGAGTCACATTACAAAGTCGGCATTCTAGCAACTGAAGAACATTTCCAGGATTACATGACCAACGTCCGAGTGTTAGAAAAACTCAGCCGTGTGTTTCTCTGTAGTCACATTGGTTCAGTGTCTTCTTTACAATACTGTTGTTTGTTTATAAAGCTCTAAAACGGCTGAGTGCCAAAATACATTAAACGTCTCTGTTAGGAAACCGCAGCAAACAGTGGCATCTTGGGTTTATGAGTTTCCATATAGCAACCTGCAAACTTACATGTAAATAATTTAATTTAATTTAATTTAATCCTGCCACAATAAACACAAACATCATCTCCACTCAGACTCAGGATTCAGATTTTCATTCATAAACACTGAGTGTGTCTGTAGTGAAGCAACATGTGGAGAAGAACCTCACTGTGCACGGTGGAGGATGTATGATGCTGCAGGTCGACTTTCTTCCAAAGTCCTTGGGGACTTTGATAGCAGTGAGTTATGGACTCATTGACAGCAGGACATTTGGACAAGAATCTGACTCAAACAACCAACACAGACATGCTTTGATACGCTTTATTATCTGAACCCAAACAGAAGAGAAGGAAATGTTGCACATCTGAACAGGAAGAAATCAGGATTTACAGATGAAATCTGATCATCTGGATGCAGATTAGGAATAGTTTAGCTTTTAGAGACTTCACTCTACAGCCTGACAGGCAGATGATCATGGATGACCTGAAACCAGACGGCCCTGGCTGAGGTTAGCGTCTCGTTAGCGCTGGTTATCCTGTCTCACATTGGGAACAGCAGATGACCGCTGAAGGAGGAGATGTGGCTTTCATCATCGTGGACCACTTTGTTGCAAAACAAACGGACAGACACAATGTCTCCGGCCTCCAGCAGCAGCGAGACGCTGTTAGACGCACTTTCATAGCCTAAACTCCCGGACTCCCTTGCAGTGAAAAACTCGTCATAGTCATTCTTCATCAACGTGGTTATCGCGTATTCACCTTTGTTGACGGCGATGTACAACTCAAAGTGGTAAGCTCCTCTCAGTGGGGCTGTAAAAACTCCTGCAGGACAAACAGAGGAATCCTCTCAGTTTCTCTACTTCTGGTAGAACAGCAGCTTGTCTCTGTTGTTACCTGTATGCGGGTTGTAGGCGTCTCCGATGTTTGTGACGACGTGCTTGAAGACCAAGGTGGTGTCTCTAAAGGCGGAGCGTTCAGTACTTCCAGAACCCTGAGCCAACAAAGAGGCTGAAAAAGCCACTTTGTTGGCTGAAACTGAACAGAAATGTTCTGTTTTCAGGTTCATGGTTCATTACTTCACCCAGTAAAAATCTGACTTTGTGTTTTTGCAGTACCGTTAAGCTGCTGCTTTAGCTTGTCCACCAGAGAAATCAGATCCTTCTCATGAGCATCCGCCTGGACAAGTTTCCACTCCTGTTCTGAATAAAAGACAGAAAAGGTTTCCATCCTTTCTATTATTTACATGAATTCAGTAATTGTGTATAAAATGTTCATTAAATTCGCAAAGCTTTTAAAATCTCTACCTTCAATCTTATTCTTCAGTGTGGATATTTCATCCTTCTGCTGCTCCCTCCAGGTCGTCACATTCTCCAGTTTTTCTCCTTTTTCTAAAAATCAACCAAAAATAATTGTAGGCTTTCAAACTGAGATAAAATTATTAATCTGAAAACAGGAGCCGTTCCTCACCTTCAGTCTCCTGTTCCAGAACAGAGACTTTGCTCTTCAGGGCAGCCAGGGCAGCGGCCGTCTTTGCCAGGGCAGTGTGGACGTTCTCCTCAGGATGGACAGCGGAGATCTTTCTGTCTGAGTCCATCTGATTCATGGAAACAGAGGAGAAGAGAAGAAACGGCAGGAAAACCAGGGCCATCTTCATCCTCATGGTGAAAATCCAGAGCTGTGGCGGCTGCAGACCTGATGGAGATTTAAATGCTGCAGCTGGAGTGAAGGAGAGGCGGGTCTGAGGTCAGGAGGTCACTTCCTGTGATTCACAGACTTTAGTTCAAAACAGTTGGAGAAAACATTCATGCAGAAACATGTTGCAAGAGTAAAAGTGGCGTAAGAGCATGATGATTCCACCTCCATGCCTGTGTGATGCGTTCAGGTAACGCTCAGTATTTCTCCTTGATGCCACAGCAGCTGAGTTTAGTCTCATTAGAAACCAGAACTTTCTCTACAACCTGTCCTGAAGCATTTGGACTCAGAGAGACTTTTAGTTCTGTCTGCTATTGTCTGTCACTAAAACCACATCCTTTATGTTTAGGACGACACCAGAGGAGTTCTTGGTGACTTCTGGATCAGAACCAGACGTCAGAGTTGGTTTCCACTTTTCATACTTTTTCTCTTTCTGGTTCAGAATCTAAACATGAACGTCCCGGCGCTCCACAGGTGGATCTGCACTGTAAAAAAAAAAAAAAAAAAGTCATAAAATGTATGGTAAAAAACTGTAAAATACTAACAACAGCTACAGACTGTAACATCCAAAGCATTTTGTTATCATAGAAAATAAATGGAGTTACCATCACTCAACTGATATAAATTTCTCATTTATGAAAAGTAGAAAACACAGAAGTTTATTGTGAAAACTTCTGTGTTTTCTGTGAAAATCTTAGAAATTGTAAAATAAAATCGCTGACGGTCAGTTCATGTGACCAGCCACCGAGTTACTATCGTTCCCAAACTCTTCCATTTTCCTATAACACAGCTGACAGTTGACTGTAGAATATTTAGGAGCGAGGAAATTTCACGAGTGGATTTGTTGCACATCCTATCACAGTTCCACACTGAGATTCACCGAGATCATGAGAGCGAAACATTCTCTCATTAATGTTTGTAAAAACGGTCTGCATGCCGAGCTGCTTCACTTACACGCCTGTGATTGAACACCTGATTCTGATCATTTCAATGGGTGAACAAATACTTTTGACAATATAGTGTATCTTAAAGTATCTTCAGTAATAAGGTTGGTTAATTTGTTTTTCCAGAATCTGCTTCTTGCTTCTCATTCGATCCCAACAACAGACTTGGACACAGTTTACCGTGGAGCTTAAAGAAAACATCAGAAATGCTCAGTATTCCCCAACCATGAGGCGTTGTCGTCGTCTCCACCTCCATCTATCTAGCACCGATCAAGTGAAACAGGAAGAACTTCATGAGAACGAAGACTTCCCGATGGCAAATATCACAGTCACTTTCTTTGGCTTTTAACCTCAAACGTTCACACTGAAACCAGGTTACCATCAAAAAGTTCAGTCTCTGCTGTCCATTCCTGCAGATTAAAACAACGTTCATATCAAAGCATATCGTCAATTATTCATCCCAGCTTGCTTTGCTCTGTTAGTAAATGCTGGGGATGAGGCTCAATATGGAGATCGATGTTCATATCCTTTGTTTTTGTGATGTTTAGTTCTAAATCCATTTGAACGAACCACTGAACAACGTCATCAATAACAGGTTCATGTTCATCCTGCAGCAGATTAATATAACGGTTACTGTGTCGTTGGTAGAGTTCAGGATGCTGACAGTCGTTTATGTAGGAACAAACAGGAGGGGGACAAAACACAGCCCTGTGGAACACCAATAGAAGAAAGGAGACATAAATACTTACAGCAGGTCAATGTAAGTATTTATGTCTCTTACATTGACCGGCTGTCCATAGTTGTTAAACCTGGACCAGTGAAAAACTGAGTTAAAAGTTTATGTAATTTGAGGCTTTATTGCATTGAAAACAGAAGTTTAGCGTGAGTCTTTCAATCTTCCAGATGTTTATGGTGCAGGTTCAGCAGAGTGATGGCAGCATCCTCCACATCCTGTTCTATACGCAAACTGCAGGAGATCCAAGTTATTCTCAGCGTTAGCAGCAGTTCCTTTTTCATAAGTCCATCAAATGTCTTCATTACTGAGGATGTTAAGACAAGAAGATCATTTAGCTCTTTAGCAGCTTTACATTTATAAGAACAAATCTTTTCCATTTAATGGGAAACTTTTCCAGTTCCAGGGAGTTTAAAAATATACTGGCATCAAGGAGGAGAAATACTGATGTGTGCCTCTGACAGTACACAGGCAGTATTTCTACTGAGGAGAAATACTGAGCGTTACCTGAAAGCATCACACAGGCATGGAGGTGGAAGCATCATGCTCTTACGCCACTTTTACTCTTGCAACATGTTTCTGCATGAATGTTTTCTCCAACTGTTTTGAACTAAAGTCTGTGAATCACAGGAAGTGACCTCCTGACCTCAGCCCCGCCTCTCCTTCACTCCAGCTGCAGCATTTAAATCTCCATCAGGTCTGCAGCCGCCACAGCTCTGGATTTTCACCATGAGGATGAAGATGGCCCTGGTTTTCCTGCCGTTTCTTCTCTTCTCCTCTGTTTCCATGAATCAGATGGACTCAGACAGAAAGATCTCCGCTGTCCATCCTGAGGGGAACGTCCACACTGCCCTGGCAAAGATGGCTGCTGCCCTGGCTGCCCTGAAGAGCAAAGTCTCTGTTCTGGAGCAGGAGACTGAAGGTGATGAACGGCTCCTGTTTTCAGATTTGAGCTAAGTTTGAGCGTCTCAGAGATGATGCAGCCAAATTACAGTTATTTTACTTTTCAGAGCAAAAAGAAGAGCTGGAGAATGTGACGACCTGGAGGGAACAGAAGAAGGATGAAATATCCACACTGAAGAATAACATTGAAGGTACAGATCTTCCACATTTAGTGAACATTTTTATCCACAATGTTCTACTGTAACATCATCTGTTTTTTCTGTAGGACAGGAGTGGAAGCGGGTTCAGGTAGACGCTCAAGAGAAGAATCTGATTTCTCTGACTGACAACCTAAAGCAGCAACTTCAAGGTACAAAAAAATCTGATTGTTTAGCATTTGAAGTAATGAAACATGAAAGCTGAAAACAGAATGTTTCTGCTCAGTTTCAGCCAACAAAGTGGCTTTTTCAGCCTCTTTATTGAATGAGACTGATACATATACCGGACCCTTCGCCATACTCACCACCTTGGTCTTCAAGCACGTCGTCACAAACATCGGAGACGCCTACAACCCGCAGACAGGTAACAACAGAAACAAGCTGCTGTTCTACCAGAAGTAGAGAAACTGAGAGGATTCCTCTGTTTGTCCTGCAGGAGTTTTTACAGCCCCACTGAGAGGAGCTTACCACTTTCAGTGGTGCATCAGCTCCTACGAAGATGAAACCACAGCAGCAGTGTTGGTGAAGAATGACCAGCAAGTTTTCAGTGCATGGGAGTACAGAGGCTTTTTCACGACCATGAATGACGACATGGGCGTTAGCAGTGCTTCTAACGGCGCCTCACTGCTGCTGGAGGAAGGAGACGCCGTTTCTCTTCGTCTGTTTCCCCTCTGTGTCATCTTCGACTACGGACTGCACATCTCCTCCTTCAGTGGTCATCTGCTGTTCCCAATGTGAGACAGGATAACCAGCGCTAACGAGACGCTAACCTCAGCCAGGGCCGTCTGGTTTCAGGTCATCCATGATCATCTGCCTGTCAGGCTGTAGAGTGAAGTCTCTAAAAGCTAAACTATTCCTAATCTGCATCCAGATGATCAGATTTCATCTGTAAATCCTGATTTCTTCCTGTTCAGATGTGCAACATTTCCTTCTCTTCTGTTTGGGTTCAGATAATAAAGCGTATCAAAGCATGTCTGTGTTGGTTGTTTGAGTCAGATTCTTGTCCAAATGTCCTGCTGTCAATGAGTCCATAACTCACTGCTATCAAAGTCCCCAAGGACTTTGGAAGAAAGTCGACCCGCAGCATCATACATCCTCCACCGTGCACAGTGAGGTTCTTCTCCACATGTTGCTTCACTACAGACACACTTCAGTGTTTATGACTGAAAATCTGAATCCTGAGTCTGAGTGGAGATGATGTTTGTGTTTATTGTGGTAGGACGCTGTTTGCTGCAAGGCAGGCTGCTTGCTATTGGGATGTATCCTACAGGTTGCTATGGAAACTCATAAACCCAAGATGTCTGTTTCTAACAGAGAAGTCTAGCTGATCATTCTGCTCACTGTGATAAGCTGATGGATGTAAATATGGCTCCTCATGCAGCTGATAAACTGCCCCAGATAAACTGAACAGAATCAGATTAACTTCAGCATTTAAGGAAATGCTGCCAGCTGTTGATGTTGATTAATGAAATTACAGCTTAAAGCTGGTTACAAACTTAAACTGAGCACGACCAGACAAAGTCTGAGCAGAAAGCATCTGTATTTAAACCTTATCTGACAGATTTTAAATGGCACAGACACAGAAGGTGTGCAAGTGTTGTTTATCGTTGTAATGAGACAAAATATGAGAAAGTTGTTCTGCAAGCCACCTTAGATTACAAGTCTGTCGGTTTTAAATGCTTCACCCTAAAATGTGCGTCTGATTTTCAAACCTCTTTCTGCTGCTCACTAGGTGAGACGCGTTTCATCCAGGTGCTGAATGTCGGCATCGAAGTGAACATCTGTAGCTAGTTGTTGATGCTAATGAATTCAACTGCAGTTTAAAGCATAAGGTGGGTAGACAACATAATGAAATGTGAAGGAAAGTTTCAGGAAAAAGTCTGCTAACTTTATTTTTACAGCACCAACCCTAAACTGCTTTACTGTAAGAATATTAAGAAACGCTTAAAAAAAACAGGAAGGCATGAAAATAAAGATAAAAAATGATGACATAAGTATTATGCAGATCAAAACTAAAACAATCTGAATAAATGAGTATTAGGTAAAAATCAACAAGGAATCAGTTTATGAAGCTTCAACACTGGCAGCTTTAGGAAAGTTCAGGTTATGGTGAATCCAGTCAGCAGAGGGAGGCTGATGCTGCGGCAGGTTCAGGGAGCAGACAGCCGTAGTTTTATTCAGGTTTTCAAATGTTCTGCTCAGCCTTCAACTCTCCAGGCACACCACGCTGTTTCATCCTCAGCAACTGGCCAACAGTTACAGAGGCTTATGGATCCCCGTACATCTCAGTATCTCATAATAACTATTCAGTAATTAAAGCTTCCTCCTCGGTTTTCCATTAAATGACAGCATACATTTTACAGAGTGTATATTCACTGATAGAAGTGTGGACTTCTGCCATTTGTATTTTATTTCTATTTGATTTAAGAGTAAAAGAGTTTTCCCGTTAACTTCATCTATTTGTTGTCAATCTGATAACATTCAACCTTAATTCAAACCCGTGTAAACCACTACAATTGTTCATTGCAAACTTATGATGCACTCGATTCATGCAAACAAAGCTCAAGATCACACTCCAAGCAGGATCAGGCCTCAGACATTCAAGATTAACAGTGACGTGGAAGGTGTGTATTCAGGGAAGTGACCCAAGGACGAGACGCAGGACAAAACAAACACAAAATAAATGGAAAATTGTTAGTCCGCCCTCACACATACTGAGGAAAGAAACAACCCAAAGCTGGACGGACTAACAAAAGAAGGATAATTAAACTCTAAAGGACAGCAGACAGCAGTGATAGAACTGTAAAAACAAAAATTCAAAAATTACTAAATGCTTATAAAAACCCTTTAATCAAATCAATCTAAAACAAATTAAAAATGCTGCATCGCATTAACCAGCACTTTAAATCTGAAGGATCTGGTGCAGCCCTACCAAATAAAAATCAACAACATAAACAACAAAAATATATAATTCAATCTTATTAAAAAGACAAATGCATAAAACATTTTTTAATTCATAATTTTTTGTGTTATTTCAGTAAATCTTTATTTTTTAACCTTCTACTCAGAAACTCAACACAAATGACAAACATTTCAGGATACAGAATGTATTTTTATTTTTACAGCTCACATCCTCACAAGTCAACAACCACAAAGTGTTTTACTGTAAAAATATTAGCAAACACAAAATGTTAATCAGAAGGCTACAAATCAAACACCATAACCCAAAAAAAATGCAACTCAATCAGTCAAAATAAATATTTAGGAGATTTTTAATAAAATCAACAGAATCCAGACAGTTTCATATGGCAGATATATTATAAGTCTGTTGAAACACCATCAGCCTTTAACTTTCTTCTGATATTACTGACATTTGTTTCACCAGGAAAACCCCATTGAGATTAAAAATCTTTTCAGATTTAAGAGTTCAGATGGTTTTTGGTAAGACAGCAGCTATCCAACGTGGCCTTCAAAGGTTGATGGATATTTTCTTCATCCCTCCACTTCTGATGACTTTACAACCTGCTGTAAAAGCTCATCTATTTGCGATCTATTTACCTGGACATTTCAGGAACAAAGTCTCTTCAATCACAGTCTGTGTTTTCTCACTGCTTTGTTGAAATAAAGTTTGATTACAATACCTTAAAGTTTCTTGTTGTAACGTAACACAATGTGGAAAAATTAAAGGGGTATGAACACATTTTCAAGGCTCTACATCTCTTAATATGTTTACCATCTTGTACCATATTTTTTCGACGGGCTGTTTTTGATACAAAAAGGAATTTCGAGTGTCTTTTATGAGTAATCAATCAAATCAAAGGCAACCAGAACAGAACCTGTTGATTAGATATAACAGATTTAAGAAGCAACTTTAGCTTCAGTTTTGATTAAAGATCATTAGTTACATTTTTCATTCATTGGGTTCGTTGATTTATGACAGAAGCAGAAACACTCAGCAGCATTTGATCTCACATGTTGAACAGCAGATGACCGCTGAAGGTTGAGTGGTCATTTTCATTATCAAACATGGCTGCACCGGGAAACAGACTCACAGAAACCTGGTCTCCCACCTGTAGAATCAGCGTAATACTATTAGAGGCACTAGATACGCCATTTGTCTGATGCTCAATCGCAATGAAGGTTCTCTCTCCATTTTTGGTAATCGAAGCTCCACTGCCATGTCCAGCTCCAAGTCCGCCTACATGCAGCTCAAAGTGATAGGCTCCTCTCACAGGTGCAGTGAAAATACCTGCAGAACATTTATTGATGTGTTAAACAGAAATTAACATTTGCAGCATCAGAAGGACTAACTGATATTACCTGTTTGTTTGTTGTAGGCTTGTCCAATGTTTGTCACCAAACAAGGTCACAGCAGTGTAAGTGGAGAAGGGTCCAAGAACAAAATGTCCTTCCGACAAATAGGCTGAGAAAGCCACCTGAGTGACTGAGACAGATTAAAATTAATGTCTTAAGAAACATGAAACCTCTCGCTTCATAACAGGGACCCTCTTCACCCTGACAAGTACTTCAGGTGGTGGCCTAAAAAGTCCTAATGGATGTTATTTAATTTTTAATGGACTAATTCTCAATTATTTTTTTATTTTTTAATGTTCTACAACACAAATTAACATAAATATGCTATAGATGTCAGTGATCTGTTTGATTTCCTTGGTTTTTAACCATCAATAACATCAGGAAGAAGACATTTACAGCTAAAGTTAACCTTTTTGCAGACGACACCATGCTCTACAGACATCTCTCTGCAGCTTAGAGTTGGTTATCTATGTGAATAAAATTAAATTCATGCTTTGCAAAAATTACCATCAGGTTTCACCTGTACATTAGTCAAATTCCCCCACGTTAACAATATCAATGAACCTAATATCATACCTGTATTCTCCTTTTTTAAGGTTTCAACCTCAATCTTCAGTTCGGTCAGTGAAGCGGCCATTTCTCTCAGAGCCTCATGGATTTCCCCTGAAGAAGACCCACAGTCCTTTGACTGATCCGTGGACACGGACCCGACCAGCAGCAGCATCAGGTAGAACAGAGCAATCTTCATCGTGTCTCAGGTAATCTGCAAACTCCAGGTGTGTCTCCTACAAACCTCACGAAGGTTTATATAACACTGTTGGGGGGTTGGATTCTGGGGGAGGATACAGCTAAGGTCCAGCCTCCAGAGAGCCTATAATGCCGCATTCATTACAAAAGAACAACTCTAGAACTTGTTGATCTATACATAGAAAGCAAAACTGTTCATCTTTTCACTCAGACAATGTGTGAATTTAATGACACTGAGAAATACTGAGATTTTATCCATCCATCCATCCATCCATCTTCTAACACCCTTGTCCCTAGTGGGGTCAGGAGGTGCTGGTGTCTATCTACAGTGAAGATTTTGTGCAAGAGCCGGGGTAACCCTGAACAGTCGCCAGTCTGTCGCAGGGCAACACACAGACAAGACAGGACAAACAACCTCTGTTTCAGTCTGCAGTTTTCAGTATCTGCAGTCTGAACGGTCATGCTGCATTTCATCTGTCTTTTACTTTATGGAAGTAAGATATGAATCATAACTCTGCAGCGGAAGAAGTCAGTTGGAGTAAATCTGGATGTAAAACTCATATAACATCAAGGGAACCCAAGAAGAGACTTAAACTTAGTGAGGACATCTGTTTGCTGAATCTGATTTAACCCCTTCTGATGATACATGTTTGAGATGTTGGACAGATGTCCTGAAGCACTGACTTTTTACTGGTAACAGCTTTAAACCATAGTCTTTCAACCTGTGGAGAACTTACAGCAATCGTTCTTCATTCTCTGAGCTCCTCAGGATAGCTGAGAAACTGATTACATCAAGAAAAACAAAGACCTCACTCAATTCATGCTGCCATACGTGTTTCCATTACTCTCTGAAAGGTACTGGGGTTTTTTTTCTTAATAATCCTTGCTATCAAACAGTGCATCAATTTTG